AGTAACCCCTAACTATCAATGCTGGGAGTTAATATTGCAACCGCTGGGGCTAATAATGGGGTTATTATTGTTCCCACAGAAAGCAATGAGGGGGGGATTACTGCATACACAACAACTACCATTAGTTAAGATTGTAGGTGGGGGGAGGGTATTTTTGCTACCACTGACACCAGCAACGTGGGGGGGGGGTTAATGTTGTTGCCACTGACATCAGTGAAAGGGGAGGGGGTAATTATTGCTTCCACTGACACTAGTGAAGGTGAGGATTACTATTGCTGCCACTGTCATCGATACCAAATGAGGAGAGGTGAAGGGTTTACTATTGCTGACACTGTAACTGTTGCCATTTAACAAGTGGGGGAAATGTTATTGCTGTCACTGACACCAGTGAAGGAAAGTTTTATTATTACTAATACTAAAGAAGGGAGGTTTATTGTTATTGCCTATGACACCACTGAAGAAGAGGGTTTCAACTGTACCCATTGACATCAATGAAAGGGGGATTATAGTTGCACCCAATGACACCAATGAGGAGGGTTTATTTTTGCACCCACTGACGCCAGTGAAGGAAGGGTTATTATTGCACCACTGACACTAGTGAAAGGGTTTATTATTACATCCACTGACACCAATGAACAGGGGGTATTATTGTACCCACTCAGAGCAAATTAAGTGGGTTATTATTGCACTCATTGCCACCTACTAAGGGTGGATATTACTGTACACACTGGGGAATGTTTTTTACCCACTGACACAAATGAAGGGGGAATACTGCAGCAGTATGCAGGTGAGTGGAAGGGCCCCTGGGGATGGAGCTTTCTGAAAGGGGGTTATTCTTGGTATTTTTTTTGTTCTATTATAATACATGGCTGTAGCTTGGTGTTGTTTAATTGATCTAGATGTGACCCTTCTCCTGCCATGTGGATACAAATGTGGCCCTTGGGCCCTTTTAAGTTTAGATACCACTTGTGTATATGAATTTCTATTTCATACAGTTTATCATCTAAAGATCACTGCATTCTGGAGCTTCCAGTCTAGGTATTAGGATATCAAAAATCAAACAAGCTTACTTTATTTAATTCAAGCAACCTGGCCCACAGGTCTTCGAGTGGTTTGATTCTCTTATCACTCCATTATTTATTGCACATTACCATCTCCCGTGTCCTTTTCTGCAGGCACACCTAAACTTGGTGCTGCCAAATTTATCAGGTTAAATAACCGTATTGTAAAAAAAATTATTATTGGAACAAAGAACTGTAAATGCTGTAATGATTTTTTTCAATGTAGCCTTTTCTTTTTAACTGTGTGTGGGAAATGTATTCAGAAAGAACCTTATACCCCACACTACAGGTTACATAGTTAGTCTGGCTGAAAAAAGACAAGAGTCCACCCAGTTCCACCATAAATAAAAAGGTTATAATTCTATACCCACAGTTGATCCAGAGGAAGGAAAACTACCAGCAAAGCATCCAATTTGCTCCTGCGGGGGAAAAAAATGTCTTCCTGAACCCCCAAGAAGCTGTCGGATATTCCCTGTACCCTGTAACTTTACCTATAAATGTTAGTATCCAGTTACATTCTCTGTATCCAAGAAAGATCCCAGGCCTTTTTTAAAGCAATCCACTGAGCTGGTTAGACCAACTCTGGAGGAAGTCTATTCCACATTTTCACAGCTCTCACTGTGAAGAAACCTTTCCATATTTGTAGACTAAATTTATTTTTTTTTCCAGATGTAAAGAGTGCCCCCTTGTCCTCAGTGAGGACCTCAGGGTGAACAATTCTATCCCGAGTTCACTATTTGAACCACTGATGTAATTATACATGTTGATCATATCCCCCTTTAATCTCCTCTTCTCAAGAGAGAATAAATTCAGTTCCTTTAATCTTTCCTCATAGCTGAGCTCCTCCATGCCTCTTATCAGTTTGGTTACTCTTCTCTGTACCTTTCTCCAGTTCCCCAATGTTCTTTTTGTGAATTGGTGCCTGAAACTGAACTGCATATTCCAGATGAGGTCTTACTAATGATTTGTACCGGGGGGTAATATGATATCTCTCTCTGGAGTCTATACCTCTTAATACAAGAGAGGATTTTGCTCGCTTTAGAAACTGCAGCTTGGCATTGCATGCCATTATTAAGCATATGATCTACCAGAACTCCCAGATCCTTCTCCACCATTGATTCCCCCAATTGTACTCCCCCTATTATGTATGATGCATGCATATTCTTAGCCCCCAAGTGCATAACCTTACATTTATCAACATTAAACCTCATTTGCCACATAGTTGCCCAATTAAACAGTGCATTGAGGTCGGCTTGTAAGTTGGAGACATCCTGTAAGGACGTTATTCCACTGCACAGCTTGGTGTCATCTGCAAAGACTGAAATAATATTCTTAATACCAGACCCTATATCATTTATAAATATATTAAACAGTAAGGGTCCCAACACTGAACCTTGGGGTACACCACTAACAACCCTAGACCATTCAGAGTATGAATCATTAACCACTAATCTCTGAATATGATCTTTTAGCCAAGGTATAGTTGTTGTTTAGCATATGCCATCCATGTATATGTCCTAAGGACCACAGGTAGAAGGTGTAGTACACTTGGCTTTTACTGTGTTTTTCCTTTGCCCAAGTGAACACTTGACACATTCCAGCATGTACCTCAAAGCACTCACACTATATGGTAAACAGTACTGTATTTTCAATGTACTTGGAGTACATATTCATACTATAGGACATGGTGGGCCATTTTTTTGTGTATATTTCGTGCATAGTATGAAGAGCGAAATGCAACAGTGTGCATGTTGTGGTCTGTTGAATGTATTCTGTAGTGTGTGAAGTTGCAGAATGCCGAGTGTAGCATTCAGGGCACATGATCCAGTGAGTGTACTCAAGTGCATGGTAAAGTTGGCTGAGTGTTTTGGAGATGTATGCTGTAATGTTCTAAGTATAATGAGGTGCATAGTGGAATGTGCTGCATCTAATTAGTGTGAATAGTAGGGTCACAGTATGCAGAATACAATCTGCATGTGCTTTCTGGTTCTTGCAGTGTCTATTTAAACATATCAATCATCTGGCCTGAAAGACCCCCCGTAAGCAAAATATTCACTGGGGGGAGGGGGCATGCCTCTGAATATTGGAGTGAATGTGGTACTAATTGCTTACATACACACCCACAACTCTAGCGCAGCATTTTCAGAGTTTCAGCAAGTGAAACCCCACTTTAATTGTTCAAGGGTAGAACTAACGTCGTGCCTGCTCCTGACCTGTGTAAACTTCATCAAGCTGATTTAGCTATTGATTCTATATAAACAAATGCCCTTGTAAATAAACCATAAAAAGGGATACTAAAGGTATTTTTGTGTTAAAATAAAAAAAGATGTTACACTCATCTGCTCTGTGCAAGGAGATTGCACAGAGTGGGCCTTACCTTCTCTTTGGCAGTCCCCCACCAACATGGTCTGCTTCTTCCTCCTCTGAGCGCCTCCTTAGCAAGCCATGTTTTATAAGGGCACCCGTGTGCACACACTCCCAATCCAGGCTGTGTATGTCCATAGACATGCACAGTGCCAGTAAGCCACATCTCCACCCCCTCCTTACAAAAGTATGAAAATCGGCCATCAGGGTCTCCTATAAAACCAGGAAGAGAGGAGAGCAGTGCTACAGCTGGGACAATGCTGGATCAGTGAGAGGAGTCAGGTGGGTGTTTAGGGATGGGGCGAATAAGTAGTGGGGTGTTTTTTACCTTAATACAGAGAATGTACAGTGCAAGGTAGAGATCATTCTTACGAAGCACTTACATTTACTAATTTGTCAATTACCCCACAATTGAATAATTTTTCAATAATGTCCTGAAAAAATGGCCCGATTACTTAGGGATAGTTTAGTAGTATTGGCTCTAGAGTAATGCAACCCCGGTATATTTATCTTCAAATATTTCCCTGTTTCAATGACCTTATACTGCTGCTGGCTATCAGAGATAGCTGAGAACTGGGTAGTGTTAAATGTGGAGATTTGTCTCATGAAAATATGGACTGTTTTCTATTTCATGTCAGAGCCAAAATGGGTGAAGAGGACACCAAAAGAAGAGTTTTGTAGAGCTGTGATCCCAGCTTGGGGAAAAAAATAAAAAAAAAAAGAAGAAACCCAGCGGGCAAGTTATTATTGGGTCCAAAAGGGAAAAAAAAAAAAAAAAAAGCGGATGGACTTGTTATCCCACCTCCATCTACCCAAAAATGGAATAAACTAATTTATATGTATATGCAGATTGATTTTTGGTAATGCCTACTATACTGTAAGTTAAGTGGAAGACATTGCAGGATTTCTACTCTAAATACTTTAGTAGAGAACCCATTCCCAGCTCAACAATCATGCAGTTAAAATAAAAAAATAAAAAAAAAAAACACAAATTATAAAGTCTCTCTTCAGAGGCAGTGGCTGAGCTTTGTTCTGTGAAAGTTCAGGTCTGTGTAAGGTCCAACATGATGGAAAACCAGGCTCTTCAAACAAAAGAAAAACTGGGGAGGCAGTTATTTAACTCATTGTCTACCCAAAAGCAAAAACAACCATTCTGGCTTGACGAAGTTAAGAGAATAGTGAAAAAGAAAAGTTATTCAATTTTATGACATTAATACATTCTTGTACATGTGGTTATGACGTTGCTGATAAGGACATAGAAAAAGCATGAATACAACAGATTGTAATAGATAGTGTATATATGAAGCAGGCATGTTAATAACCTCTTGCCAGAACTAGTAAATCTATTCACACAGAAATATTCAAAATAGCAGCTTTGGCGGAATATTCCATGTTAAAATTTATTTTATATATAGTGTTTTTTAATACAGGTTTTACATTTTAAAAAACACAGGAAATATAGCTTAGCAATTAGTCTGAATGCTTGTTAAACAGGATACATATTTGTTACATTAATCAATATATTTTATTGCTTAAACTTTTTTTTATATGTTTAACAAGTATTAGAATTTTTCTCTATTTAAGAGAAGACTCCATAAGCTTGCTAAATTTTTCCAGATCGCATCCATTCATAATAACAGCTTTGTTTTTCTTCTTTAGTTCATCAATCAAATCCAGCACCATCATTCCCCGAGTGAACTTTCCAGAAAGCTCCACAGTCACCCCACATTCAATGAATTTGGTAACAGTGCTGGGATCAATGGCTGCAGCTATGGCATAGGAGTCACAAGAGACAAATCCAGGTCCATCTACAATGGCTTTCTCTTCCTTATCACTTCTTGAGTACTGCAAGCTGTGAGCATATATCTTCTTTATGAAGTTAGATTTTTTTGTCCCCATGTTGACCCAGTTATCATACCATTCCTAAATAACCAAAACAATGTTGGTTATGAACAGTTTACCATTGTGTTGTAACATAAAACTATCTAGATAGAAATATGAATACAATAAATACACCATGCCACTGTTAACAGTGACTGTAACAAGAAACATAATTGGCTGTAAAGCTTTTGTTAAGAAGAGCAGAGACGCATATTTTCTGGTCGGGAGCTCGTATAAGACCCTTTTGGGATGATGTCTGCCACCTGGTGCACAAGCTTATCGATATATTGCTGGAGGTTCACCTTGAGATGTTCCTCCTACACATTACCCCATTTTCGAGGGCGAATATACAAGTGATTCCTCCTGATTCATATTCTAAGTGCTGCCAAGGTCTGTATACCACAAAAAAAAAAAAATGGAAAACCCAAAAAAGTGGCTTTGAAACATATAGATGAAAAGTTCCATAAAACATGGTATTATTGGCACTATTTCCAATACTGACTACACCTCACATCTAATCACCCTGATCACTCCAGCTTCACCTCAGTAGTGGTCACACGTCAGACGCTTCTGGGCCCTCCAGTGGTCTCCATTCTCTTCTACTACGACCTTATCCCCACTGTAATCTACTCCCTCCCCCTATTTTTTTATTTATTCTCCAATCCTTTCCTGTTCCATCTGCCTTCTGTTTCATTGTCTACTCTAAGCTCCCTATAATTTTTTTTTTACAAAACAAGTTCCTTTGGATTAAGCATTACTCTACAGATCTCCACCTACTTAAAACATTTGAAGGATAAGAAACTTTGTATGTGGTTGAACAACCAGTGGCCTTGTTTGAGTGTAGAATTCTTAGGCCTTACTAGGATATCCAGGTTACATTGTGGAATTACGATCACTATCCCTTTGACTCGAGTCACAAGTTTTGTATGGGTCTTTCCTCTTTTTGTCCTAGAGGCTACGCTCTGTTAATTGTACTGTGTGCTTTGCCAAAGAATGAAATATAACTTATAAAAGAAAAAGAAGAGATACAGATTGCAATAAAAAAAAAAAACTAGCAATGACCAGAGTTTTCCCCTTTGTAGCATTACAACTACAACTAAAAAAAAAAAAAAAAAAAAAAAAAGAAAAAACCCGCTACCTGCAGATATATGAAACCTGTGGCTCACGCTCCTTCTCTGGTCTCATTGCAGTTGCTTGGCCTCTCAGGCCATATGGGGGCAGGGTGGGAGCCCCCAATTTCTTCACACCTAGCAGTCAAGTCGAAAGGTGGGGAAATGTGATAAAAGGTAATGAAAGTTATATAAAGCTAGGGGAGCCACCAATAATTTGAAGCTGTTGCTTTGCTCTATATGGGAAACCTGTCAGCTTTGTACTGTTCCGTACAACATATTGGATATGCACAGAGCTTGTAATAATGGTAACATTTTGAGAATGCATTTCATACTATAGGTCCTTTCTTAGTTAACACATTGTATGCAACATGTAGGTTATAAAAATGAAACCACAAAGATGTGGAGTCTTTGTTCAGAGACAGTGGCCAAACCCAGGTCTCTGCCAGGTCCGACATAATTGAAAACTAGGCCGATTTCAAGTCTTTACGAGAGATGTGTGCAGTGTCATCTAAGGATTTCAGAGGATATGGTTTACAGCATGAAACCCAAAACTACAGAGGATTTAATATAGTATTAAAAAGATTTAAAGTCTCTCATAAACCACCCATCTTAATCAAATGCCTCCAAGTATTTGAAGGTCGAGCACTGCCTTACCCTTAACTGAAAGGTGGAGTTTTAAATGCACCACTGAAAGTCAGGAACAATCTTCTAGCCTAACAAACATTAGAGGAAGGCTTTACTTCCCGTTTTCTTTTCAAGTAACAGTGATACTTTATGTCCGAGAGGGTACCAACACCGTGCCCTTAGGAACCAACTGCCATTTTAAACTTGTACATATTTCCACACTACAAAAAGGGAGATGTCTCTTTTGCTTGTCAGGATCCCTAAAATATAGGTCCACTATATGGGTTCTCTGTCCTATCAATCCACATATAAAATTATTTTTCTGTAATCACAGAATCCCCCCCGATATAGACTTTCAGCGATTTTCACCATTCCAGAAAAGACTGTACAGTTCTCAAGTTAAAAACTGCTCATTTAGATTTTTATTTTGGCCATTCCAGACAGAATCCACCTGAAGGCCACCTGAGATCCAACTTTATACCTTTTGGCTTCAATACTTTTTAGGACACTGACCCAAAATAAGTATATGGATCAGCAGTTCTGACTTCACCCCGACTTTCCCAGCTGCGTGTTTTTGCCAGGCCAGTTTATGAAGAAGTTTGAAACAGCAGCCTACATATACAGTACCTCTCGGTCCAGGTTCCCATTAATAGCTGAGATGTTTGTGCCACCCTGACAGAATTGTCTGCTTTACATTTACTTTGCTTAAAATAGAAAGTTAGGAAGGACAACATATGCACACACAATTAATATATAGTATACATACAACAGGTACTGAATTTCATAGAGGTTTAGGGGTTCTACTTACCCATGAAAGTTTAGAGCGGCATGAATGCTCCCAAGTAGCAATGTAGGTTTTACACAAATAGTCATTCAAAACTATGTAGGCAGCTTCTGGATCTGCAAGGAAGTTAAACTCTCCACAACAAGTGGTGTTTCCTCTTGCTAAACAAGCAAAAAAAAGTTGGCTTACAATAAGAAATGTATATAAATTACTGTACAAGCACATACCTTCCAACTGTCCTGGATTCGCCAGGACAGCACAGAGATTTAAATCCTGGCATCCCAATAATCCATGCTAAATCCCAGAGGCCAGTGCCACAACATGTTTTGGCACTGGGCAACTAAACTTGAATCTCTCATGAGATGCCTGGGGTCCTAGAAGCCATGATTGCCACCTCTATGGGAGCTGGCATCTGTCCCTAGATGCTCTTTTATTATAGACACAAGACAGGAGAAGGAGCTAAGGAGGAGGGACATCACGCTGCAGCAACCATGCTGATCCCAGGTCTGTACTTCGTTAAATATGAATGGAGACTTGCAGAGGGAGACACAGACCAGAAAGGGGGAAGAGTGTAGGTAACAAAGATATACACTGGTTGGAATGATTGAGGGGAGGAATATAACAAAATGTGTTGGGGGGGGGGGCACTTCAGGAAGGAAAAGGATTTGTTCTAGAAGGGGGGGGGGGGGGGGGGGAGTCAGATTTGAAAAGCTAATCCCCAAATCCCCACTCCAACTTCTAGTCTTCTCCCCCCCCCCCCCAGCACATATCCTCTCACCCATCCTTCCCTAAATTAAATTAAAGAGATGCCAGCCACCATAGAGGGGGGCGATAGCAGTAATTAGGACCCAGGTGCCACGCAAGAGATGTAGGGCAAGTGCCTCGGGTGGCACTCCTTTAAAGCAGATCTGGGTTCAGCTCAAATACTACATCCTTCCACTCCACCTCTCCTCCTGTCCTGTGTACGACTTGGACTGGACTGTTTTTTTCCCTTTTTTCTTTTTTTTTTACATAAAATTATTGGACCCTGCCTCATTTGCCCATTATTCACCTAGGCGAATAAAATGCTCAGACCTCCCGTTGGCTTCTGCGATATGCAGGTCTCATTTCCCAGGAGGCATAGCCTTTCATTGGGTAAATGAGGAGGGGGCCTAGTGTTGCATCATCAGGTAGTGTACCGGCTGAACCCAGAACAGCTGTCTATCGATGATGTCACAGTGCAACATGGCAGTGCAGGGACCAAGCACTGCCAGAAGAGAGTGATCTCAGCTGGACAGCGCTGAATGAGTATCTAAACTTAGCAGAACTAACCAGCAGGTAAGCAGAGGTTTTAAAAAAATCCTCTTTAAAGGTAGGCTCAGCCTAAATGTTAGCTCTCTGTATATTTTCTGTGTGTCCATAGGACACAAACGTTTTTTTCTTCTTTTTCTACTACTTTTTTAAATGATTTTGCTGGGATTTATGTGTGTCCCTGAGGCTCTTGTTTTTGGCACAGCAATCAAAGTGTATTTTATAGATGCAAGGAAGTCCTGGTTTTCTTTATGCCCCTCTTACTGTTTGTTTGGCCGCACCCACTTTTTGTTGTGGCTCACAATGTGTGCCACAGGGCATTACCCCCCTCAATTGTCCCTCCCCCAAGCTCAAATGTTGGGAGGTATGTAAACATGCAAAACAGGTAAGGAGTGACCAGCCAATTCAATTCCTAAATTAACTGAGTTTACAAGTGGAATGGGATAGAACATCAAAAAAGAGCTGATAACTGAACATGTTCCCGCCAGCCTTACGCATCTGTGCGGCCTGTCAGCATGTGGGCTTCAACACCGAGAGGCAGCATATATGCATCCCAAATATAAACATTTCTGTGCTGAGAGCGCGTGCTACCTGAGCGCTCCCAGCACAGTTTCTGGCAGGTATCAGAAACCTCCAGATGCCTACTTACGATCTGGAGCTTTCCAATCATGTGACCACTGTAAGTGCCAATCACAGCGGTCACATGATTGCAATGCTCACCTCCCTGCATTTAGAACCTCTTAAAGGGCCGGGAGGCATCAGCAGGAAGGGACGATATACCTAACATTATTTATAAGCTGAGAATCTACAATCTCTGACTTACATTCCATATTTCCACCCATTATGTATAGACTCTGCAGTTTCTGCGGTATTTTTGGATCCATCCTCACAGCTAGGGCCAAGTTGGTTAAGGGACCTGTAGCCACCAAAGAGATCTAAAAAAAAAAAAAAAAGAAGAAAGAAGGAGAAAAAAAAATTAAGAAACAAATTGTACCAATTACAGAATTTAATGGAAAGGGTTTCTTTTTTTTTTTTTTTTTTTTTTTAAAGTAAAAAGCAAAAGTAATATTTTTCTCACATTCAGGATGCTAGTGCCAATAACAATAAAGTAACTAAGTGGATGTTTTTTTCACCTTCCTCCAAATAAACGTGGGTTTCGGGTTCTATGAATGCATGTTTTTAATTTTGTTTTAGATTGCTTAAACATAAAGGAAATATGTCATTTTTCTAAACATGGACGTGTCTTTTTTCTATTACTATAACTATGTAACTTTGACTTCTGGAAATATTATACTGGTTCCTTGTTATCCTTTGTACAGCAGCACTCAGACTAGAAAAGAGAGGGACAACACCAGGAAAAAATCAAGTGTGCTACATGCACATATTCTGACAAGGAACATGCTCACAGGAAAAAGGGGCTTAAGGACAACTCATCAGCATTCTGCTTTTCCTTCATTATCTATTCCCAGGCTAGGGGCAGGGAGCTGAGCACGCTGTTTTGCTCAACCCAATTAGAAAAATGTCAGGCTTTCAGTCTGGCTCTGCTATCCGACAGGAATGAGCATTTTAGCAAATGTAGCAAAAAGAAAAAAAGGATTAGCTCTGACCTAATCTTCTGAGAACTATTTTTCGGCCTTTCTTTGACCACTTTTATTAAAGGAAAGCTTTAAACATTTTCACATCTGTACCTCTGGCTATTCCCTTGCAGCCACATGGACTCCAGGACGTCTACAAAAACCCTGTGCATGCCTGACCCAAACAAGAACTTACGGATTCAAGAGCTCACTGAACATTAAAGTGTTGGGAAGATGGGAACCCCTGGTCTTCACACACTGTGACAACAGGGCATACACACATACACACAAACACATGCATACACACACACTGCTCAAAAAAATTAAAGGAACACTTTGAAAACACATCAGATCTCAATGGGGAAAAATATCATGCTGGATATCTATACTGACATGTGCTGGGTAATGTGTTGGGTACATAAGGATGCCCCATCGTTTGAAGGAAATGAAAATCATCAACCTACCGAGAACTGAATACAAAGACACCCCAAAAATCAAAGTGAAAAAATAATGCAGCAGGCTAGTCCATTTTGCTGAAATTTCATTTCAGCAACTCAAAATGGTACTCAGTAGTTTGTATGGCCCCACGTGCTTGTATGTGTAAGCCGTGTACCGGGGTGGGCTCCCCAGGATACAGTGAAGTCACGAACGAGGAAAGCAACCCCAACACCAGCTTTTGCCACAACAGAATTTTACTTAGATGTGGCAAATAGACACAACCACAAATGCTGGGAACATACAATAAATTTACATACACCCAGCCCAAAGGCCGAGACCCTTGTGCTGCACAGCACGGCGCCTTCTGATGGATGAAGGTAGAAAGGTGTAGTAATTTACCTACTGGCGGGCACAACTAAGCTGCCACACCTTACCTGTTATTACCCTAAAAGAGCAGGAATCAGTGTATGGGTGTACGGTATGGGCTAGCCTGCACTGCAGCACAACAGCTTACAATCTTACACAAATCTACAGTATTCCCCCTCCCATAACTGGTCCTGTAGCACGTGCCTGAGTATTCCTTCTGAGCAAAATGCCAGTCTGGCTTGAGTTTGTAGGATTTTATCAGCTCTCCAATGTGAAATGTCACTTTAAGTTGTGGAGTACTTCCAATAATCAGTAACAACACTTGTGGCCTGACACAAACAGAGACCCTAACTAACTAACTATAGGCCTGGACTCAGTCTCAAGGCACCAGCACTGAAATGAGGTGCATGCACGATCTTACCGACCCGGGTCTGCTTTTCATTCGCTGGTGACTCTGAACAGAACAAAACAAATGTCTCTCCAACAAGCATGCGGTCTTGCCGTATATGTTGCTTAGTTCCTCTGCTCTCATCAGCCTTCCTGGCAGCAATCTCATCAGCATTCCTGGCAGCAATCTCTGGTTACTGAGGGACGCTTTCACACCTGGATGTCATCAGATTCTCAGCTCACACGACCCCTTATTCACCATGCTCCAAAACATGGCTTCTCTCTCTCCTTCCTGTTCTCTCCAACTCTGTGTAAAACCCCACCTCTTCATGAATATACAAATATCTATGCAGTCTGAGGCTGTGTTAGAAAAACAGTGACATCTTGTTGCTAAACCACAGAATGTCAGTCAAAATATTAATTTACTTCCACACAAACAGTGTTCAAACAATGAGAGCGGTTTCCCCATCTCACATATGCATGCCTAACAACATCGGGGCATGCTCGCAATGAGACGACAGATTGTGTACTATGGTATTTCCTCCCAGATCTTGACCAGGGCATCACTGAGCTCCTGGACAGTCTGAGGTGCAACCTGGCGGCAACGGATGGGCCGAAATATAATATTCCAGAGGAGTTCTATTGGATTAAGGTCAGGCGACTGTGGGGGCCATTCAATGGTGTAAAATCCTTTATCCTTCAGGAACTGCCTGCATACTCTTGCCACATAAGGCCAAGCATTGTCGTGCACCAGGAGGAACACAGGACCCACTGCACCAGCATAGGGTCTGACAACGGCCCAAGGATTTCATCCCGATACCTAATGGCAGTCAGGGTGCCATTGTTTCAGAGCCCAGTGTTTCTCAACCTTTTTTCAGTCAAGGCACCCTTTAAAATTATAGACAATCCTGAGGCATCCCATTCTAAAATGGGGTCCCTCTAGACTGTCCATACTTTTAAAAGGGCACATTCTGTGAAATTTGAAAAACTATTCCAAAACCCAGGAGAGCACAGAGCAGGTAAGGGTAACATGTTTGATTGTAAAGCATTTTTTAAAATGAAAATAACACTTTTCTTAGAAGTGTTTTCTGTTGGTTCTATAGTGCAGGAATTCCATCCTACTGGCTGTAGCCCTGTTCCCAGAGGATAAGCTTCCATCATTATTACTGAATAAATCTGACACATTTTGGTTTATGCAATTTACTATTTCTGGAAGAATAATTTTGTTCTGTTTGGACTCATTACTTACAAACTCTTGAATGAGTAAGACAATAATCTTTATTAAATGTGTGTTATATGATTTTGAGTTTGTCTATGTATATAATTATTACCACTTACACTGTATATCTATGTCAGCGTTTAGCTCAAGGGTATAGCTGTGAAGCATTCAGTCTAGCTGCCAACTTCACTGAAAAGGCCAACTGCCCATGATTATTCAAAAAAAAAAAAAAAATCCTTAACATCAGGGTTTCTTCCCAAGGCCTCCAAAAGGTAACCTTCATTGCGTCCCACCATAACTCTAGAATCTTCTTTTCGGTGGGCTTCCACAAGCAATGTCTAACAATGTAACCAAGTTATTTAGTCAAACACTCCTGTTTTATCTGCTGCTACCAGCAACACCGAGAAGGGTAAAAGTTTTAATACTTAATATATCCTACTGCATGCTAGGCAGTCTGCCTAAGGCTTAGTAAACACGATGAGAATATCGGATGATTTTTTTTTTTTTTAGCATGCTAGTTTCCATAGCGAAATCATGAATGGAGATAAGGTCAGAGATGGAAACCTGAAAGGTTTCTAGATCCTTGCTAGAAGGATTTACTGGTAATACTCCCCTTATTGATGAGCCATTGATGACCAGCTGGTAGAAGCATACCCCAACTGAGGACGTACTTTGTACGAAACGTGTCTTGGGAGGAGCCTGCATGCTCTGACATTACGCCGCCGGATCACGGAGTTCCAGCGGCCGCCATACTTATACCAGCTGGTCAGTGCTCATAGCAGCTTTAGGCTGATTTACGGTTTTGTACCTACATTAAGAATTTGCCGCATGTATGTTTACTTTTATCTACCTATACGTTTAATAAACTTTGGAACGTAACCTACTACACTATGGGCATTTCCTTCTGTCGCTCTTTGGTGAGCTTTTAACCCCCCAGAACCCCCTCCCCCCTTGGTGACCATTTCCATATCCAGAAGAGGTTGAATCCATATCCTTAAAGGGGACCTCCAGACACAGTGCCACCTTGATGTTATCCATCCACCCTTGGCGGTTATCTCCAGTATCCTTAAGAGGGACTCCGGGCTGATCTGCATTGATTTATATACTGCACGTTAGCTATGCGTATCTGGTGAGTGTGCATTTTAACTATTTGCTTGCCGCTCACATGGACTGTGGAATTACATCATATCTGGATTAACTTAAGTCACCTTGGCTCGCATTATATAATTAATATATACATATACTTCACAATATATATTAATTTTCCTTCTTGGACTTTTTACAATATTATTTGCATTTATTGAATCTTTTACTGTTTGATTTTTAGCGCTGCACAACTTTTATACATATTTTATCTGAAGGTTTGTGGTTTCCTTTTAGTGTACAGCTGCTTTTACCATTATAAGCGCTCGCTGTTATTTTACACATCGTGTCCATTTAGACAGATGCATACCACAGCAGACAGAATGGTTATATGTCCCAGTGGACAGTCTGTGACCTCCAAAAGGGCTCCAGATGAATGGTTACATGTGTATTCAAAGACTCTAAATCATAGGAGGGGAGAAAGCAATCTTGCATCTACAAATTCCCGTCAGTCCTCTCCAATATTCATCACATACATCTATATTCTCAGACTTTAAAATAGAGGTACTGACTGTCAATTTGGAGGCCATTTCACCCTATTGCGCATGTGTGGAGACATCACTGATGTACGCTGATGAATGAAGTCACGACGTCCAACATCAATACATCAGGCGTCGTAATTTCAGGAGGTCACATGATCGTGGCCATCTTATAAAGTCCACAGATAAGGACAGAAAAACACCATATATATATATATTAATCCTCACCAAGTGGAGAGAGCTGGATACATACAGAGGAAAGGTGCTTAAAAGAGAAC